TCGGCGGTATCAGGGCCGAAGGTGAGCCTAAAAGTGGGAAAAAATCGATGCCCGCGCTGTGTATGGTCCCTGGCTGTGTCGCCCAGGTGTTAGAATGGGGGTTTGAGACGTTTGGGGGTCGCCTATGGAGTGGGCGCGCGCTGGATTTCCGAGTACCCACTTTTTGTCCGAGAATGGCGTGGGCATACCCACTTTTTGTCCGTTCCCCTCACGGAAAAGTATACACGTCTCAAATGGATCACCACACACAACGGAATGCGCTTCGGCGTTGCAGGCTTGTAGCAACGTGCTTCAGGCGCAGTTCTAGGACATTGCCGGCCACTGCTTCCAGGAGACGGTCGCATCGTATAATGATCCTTTACCTCTCGGCAATCGTCAATCCTACAACAGCGCGCCTTCGGCGTAGAACGCCCCAAACCCCATGCCAGTCTAGGCGTGCTGCTGCATCTGGCGAACGGTATGTTAGTGACATACAAGAAATATGCTGGGCAGGTGTGTCTGTGTCGTCCATGCGGTGCTCACCTTCTCGGACACTCCTCGATCCCGACAGGCTTCTTTTGCAGCTGCTCGCCATGCGCTCGAGGGAACTCGGAACGAACTCAACTGCAGGGTCGGCGGCGGCGCGGGCGACGAATGCGACGGTGAGTAAAAGAACCGGGCGGTGCATCATGTCGCTGGTCGCGTTTGGATTCGGAGTTCTCGTGTTTTTCTAGTCTAGGCCGGCGGCGGCATATCCGTACGGGTGTCAATCTACCTGATTTTTTTCGTCGAATACGAGCAAAGATCGTTGGTGGTGCCCCGCCTCGAGCCACAACCAGCGCACCGACACCCTGCCAGCCTTTTGACTTATATATGACCCCCCAAAAGCCATTGCCAACATCACCAGGCGTACCTGAGCGATATGGATGATCTCGAAGACCACCTTGACGACCTCCTGGACGGTGGCGAGATGGAGGCTAGGATTGGAAACACGATTGGAGCCGCTAGGCTGGTGGCGCCGGCGGCTTGGAAGGCGAACCAGGACGTCTGCTCCGAGTTTCTCGGGAAGCTGTGAGGAAAACTCCGAGGGGGGGGGGG